TGTACCATCGCTTCTGCCAGCTTGACCGCAACGGAGGTGGTTTTGTCTCCGCTGACGAGTTCATGTCGGTCCCTGAGTTCGCCGTAAATCCCCTCTCCCAGGTACGGCCCCCACCTACCGCTGAACTCTTACGTCTCACCCACTCTCCTCCATTCCGACAATATCCTCGGATTTGTCGAGTATGCTAATGTCTAGAGACCATGCTACGTTGAGGGTTTTGGCTGAGCAAGTGAATTGTGTGATCAAGGAGGTGTTGTTCCCTGATAATTTGCAATTGAAGGTTGCTTTGTTCTATATCAGAGGCTCCTGAGGATGCTGGATGGGCTCAACTTCAAGGAGTTTGTAGCATTTTTGTCAGCTTTTAGCCCCCACACAAGCCCGCAGCAAAAGATTGAATGTAGGTACTATATTCTTATTAAAATTCTCCATTATTTGTCAATATGTAGTGTGGATGTTCTTTGAAATCCTTTTCGTGTCTGATTATGCTATTTCCTCTCCAGTTATTTTCAAGGTTTATGATACTGACTGCAACGGGAAGGTTGCTTTTGATGACATCTTGAGCATCTTGCGAGATCTCACAGGTTCATTTATGACAGAGCAACAGAGACAGGTTTGTACTCTGGATTTCTGGTTCCTTCTTGTGTTATGACACGACATAGCAAAACAAATTAATAATCTTGACTTGATTCTATCAGCTTCTTGAATGACTGGAATACTGGATATACCACATATTTTCACATATTGCTTTTAGCCAGTGATTAATTAGTTGTGTTATTCATGCGTGCACTCCTTGCATGGGCATGAACTGCTAGATAGTTTCAGCTGAAAAGTTATCTCAGTAAAACATAATGCCTTTTGAAGAAGTTTGTCTGCAAATTATCTCTTTCTTTCTCCCCAGAAAAAGGTACTATTGCCACCATGCGGCAGGATATATAGTTTCCCAGAGTTAAGATTTCTTAATTTGGGTACAGTAGCTTTAAAAGACATTCATTATTCTACCTATTTGTGTGATAGTAATGTAAGAGACATTTTGGTCATTCTGGTATTGTCCCCCTGCCCTACGTGCGCATTAGCATTAGTCTTTTCTGGATATTATGCTCACGTGACTTATTGTGCATTACAGAAAGTCTTGACTCATGTGTTAGAAGAAGCTGGGTACACAAAAGATTCACATTTCACACTCCCAGACTTTATGAAGGTAAGCTGGTTCCCCCTTTAACAGCTAAATTTACTCAAGTCATAAACGTATTGTCACCACTCATAATCTACTTCAGGCATAAAAAAAATTACTTTCTGGGTATCAGAAGCTACTATATCATTTTGACTGATTTAACTGAAAGTATGCTCATAAGTTTATGGCAGTTAAAAACTAAATCTAGTTGTGAATTGTGATACTATTCCTTACACTCGGTCATCAACACCAAGTGTTATGGCAACTTAGCAAGTATTGGAACACATGTTGTTTCAAATCTGTTATTAGAAGGGGCAATTTTTCTGTGGAAGAGCTTTATTATTTGTAAATCTGTGAAAATCAATATGGCAGTCTACAAAGTACATATTAAAGCATTAGGAGGGTTCAGAATATTTTCTGAATAAAGATCTCAATGTTGGATTGTTGGTACCTATTTTTTTTTTATCGAATACAATGCTGATGGCTTACGATGTCTGAACAAGTGACAGTTATCTTCTCAAATGTACATTTTTCAGATAAGTTTCAACTCTTCTGATCCATTTGCTGCTGCTTGCATAATATCGAATCAATGAATGAAATGTTTATGTTATGTCATCTGATGTCTGCAAATACTTTTATAACCAAATTTAGGCATTATCATCTGCCACCTGCTATTGTCCATTAGCTTATCTTTGCCAAATATTCACAACACATGCTCAATTGCACATTATGCATTGTTTTGCAGTAAATCAAACAATGAACAGTGTGAGCGTGTGACCATATGATAAGGCTAGTCCAGACGAATTGCTTATTATATTCTGAAATACATGAAGCAACTGTTTATGTTGTAAATGCAATTTCTTTGTTTTGACTCATCAATGTAACCACTGCACATCTGTATTACACTATTACAGCTGGAAGGAAACATCATTTTTTTCCTTGACAAACTTGGTATTCATTTTCAGATTATTGGCAATTCTGAGCTCAAGATGGAGGTTGAAGTTCCTATTGACTAAAAACCTAATAAGTACCATCTAGTTGTACCGTGATGCTGTTGCCCAGACTGTATGTTCATTTATGTTAAGTTATGGTATATTTATATCCTTGTAACTCAAATCATGATCAGAGATGTATATTAAGGAAACATGTACCTGCTATTTGGAGTTTTAGTTCACTCGCACTTGTACTCCTTAACGCTTGTTATATGTCATGTGATCTTCAAGATACCCTTACTGATCTAAGGTTCACTACCAAAATATGTCAAAAATCAGATGATCAAGGCATCACTGAATTTAGGGTTCTTAATACTTCTATATACTAGTACTAGTTAGTACTTGGCTTTTCTAGATACATAGCTATTGCCATGCACCTAGATATACATTAGTAAAAGTTATGTATTTAGAAAAGCCAAAATAACTTACAATTTGGAACGGAGTATCCTGGAAAAGGATATAAGCTATATTGTTTATTGTTAGGATTACCTTTTCACTTTTCCTATATCTCAGGTGCCTGATTTTTTGTTATTGTTCGGGCAACATGCAATTTTGTCATTGTTTGGCTATAGAAAAAAATGTTTATTCTCTTGTAAATTGTCCTTTTAATTGTACTAGTTGTCTTTTGTGAATTGTTGCCTCAAACTTTCCAAAAATTCAGGCACCTGAAATATAGCAACTCCAACATTTCAGATAACTTGGAAGACCCTATTCATTTGACCAGGATGATTGATCGGTGCAAGGATCTTCTTGGTTGCTTATTATTAGACATGCAGGATAGCATGAGTCAATAATACCGAGTTGCAATTGTGTCTGTCATGGCCAACTTGAGGAAACCCTAAAAAATGGTACTCTCATTCAAGAAAAACGGATAGATTCTAGATGGAGATTGATTTTCAGATAACTTAGTTTGAGGAAAAAAATTCAGATATTTTGAGAAAAAAAATTCAGATAACTGCCAGGTCCACATCCCAAAAATAAATCGCACCATCCTGCCTTTCTCTCACTTAAGATGAGGCGTCCAATGCTTCCTCTATTAATAGACATTATCCTGATTACCTGCAAGTTCTTCCTCCCATGCAGGAAGGGAAGGCAGAACCATTGGAGTTTAGCTAGGGAGGATCGTTAGCTCGTTGGTGCCAATCTTGGTGAGTTTGCTGTAACTACTGTAATTTCCTTATACCTTTTCCAAGCTATGCCCAAATGCCCAATCGTTGGAAATGATGACCTCAAACAATTTGTACTTAGTTGTTGCCAAAATCTCTTTATCTTTTGTTGAAACTGATCACACAACCTCTCGTATAACTGAACAATGTTGATTTACAATCTATATCGTTATTCTTAGTTAGCATGTTCTCTAACTTTTGCATGTTGCGGTCCTACACTGGATACTCAATTTCAGCTATTTGGTTCTGATGTACTGTATTGGTTGGCCCTTGGTTCTTGGCCGCACCATTTCATCTCAGATTATTTCCCTTTTCATCTGCTTGCCTGAGATGGGCTAATTGTGCATTTATATATTATATCCTGATCCACCATGTTGTTCGGTTGTTCCATATAGTTTCTGAGTTAGTTTTGTATTGGTGGGTTGGTCTGCTGGCTCGATGATGCTGTTAGTGAACAAATCTTAGACCATGAGATTTTCATTGTATGGGCAAGTAGTTCAACATGACCAGTTGGTTTTTCCCTTCTGAATTATGCTTTGTTGATTTCATTTTCCCTTGTAAAATAAATTATGAGAATCAAACATGCTGCTGGCGTTAATCTGCTTGTCATTGAAGGATAATATAAAAGTTTTTTTCTCGAATGCGCAGGAGAGCTACACATCATTGTATTAAATGGAAAAAGGGTGTGGGTCTAAGAAGACTCACACAAACTTGTTAGGGCATGGTTCTTACAAGAGTGCTTGTCAGAAAAACAGAACTATGACCAGTGGCCTATAAGAACCACAACCTGGCCTCGTCCCTAAACACAACTGGTGTCTAATCAATGCTGAAGTTTGTACTTTCTAAATTATTAGTATCATAGGAATAACTGCATGAAAAACATTAAAATGATGCTATATTGAAGTAAGAGTAAAGATAAACTGGAAACTGGGATCAAGATTAAGGGCCTACATATATGTTGAATTGGCACATATTGTTTTCATACATGATTTGTGATGTTTAGCATTTGAAGTGATTTTAGAAGTCCTAATTACAATTGGTTCAAGCTTCAAGAAATGTTATGTTGGAAATATTGTCAAACTTTTGCAGCTCCATTGAAATGTAAATAATATGTGGCCATCTAAGGAGATTAGTTAAAGAAATGAAATGCTTGTGGCTAGGACTTAAAATGACAATTTCATGAGAAACTTATAAGTTGCAACACACTGCATGGGATACTGAACAAGGGGTATATAAGATACCTATATAATACATTGTACAACAGGCGATACATGCATTCCTGTACTGAAGTTGGTAATACAATTTTTTTTTCAGAAGAGTTTACTTTTCTAGAACATATAATTTTCTGGAAGACTTTTGTTGTTCTTCTTCTCTGCTCATATGTGCAGTTATCAACTAACTAGAGATAATACATATGTCTATTTATGACATATTATAGTGCCTGTTTGTTGAGAATATTGATTTAATAAGCTCCTTGTAAGAAGTCATACATAGGATTAGTCAACTCATATTTTATTCTAGTTTTCTGGTGAAGTCATGCATAGGATTAGTCAACTCATCTTTTTATCCTAGTTTTCTGGTAGTGTATCTTTCAGAACACTGATCGATGTATATTTAAATGGTACAGATCTGAGATCTGACAGATGGATTCAGATTTTCATCTTAAGGCAAATGACAAACATTGAATACCAATCAGAGCCTTTTACCAAGATGGCAGAAAATGATACTATTCAGTTACAGAGAGCAATATTCGCCCAGTACATTATGATGAAAAAGTTATTCATGGAATTAGAAGTGGAAAGAGAAGCATCAGCAACTGCTGCAAGCGCAGCCATGTCAATGATTCGAAAGCTTCAAAAAGAGAAGGACGCAGAGAGAATGGAAGCATGGCAGTACAAGAGAATAGCTGAGGAAAAGATCAACCACACTAACAGAGCACTGGAGATTCTAAAGGAGGTCATGGAGCTGAAAGAATTGGAGATCTCGTATCTGAGGAACCAACTGCAGGTGTATAAACACAAGCTATTGGATGCTGGCATTGATGATTCTGACATTGCAGATGAGACAATAGATAGTGATAAGTCTTTGTTTGGAAGCAAAAACATGGAGAATCTTTGTCATAAAATCAAAAGAAATTTCTCTCTGCCAACTTTGCAGTTGAATAAACTATATCCTGATATGGACATCAAGAAAAATGGTGGAGTACAATCAGCAAGGAGCAGGCTGAGTGATGACAGTTGGGAGCAGATTTCAAGAAATGTTATGGCTTTTGAGCCCAAGGAAAGCTTCTCAACAGATTTGAATGGTAGAGGAAAGAATGGTGAAGAACCACATTCTCCAAGCAATGGTGTTTTACGTGACTCTCAGACTTCAGATGAGCCTTCATGTTCTTCCTCGTTCTCAATGGTGAGTCATCAGGCCAGGGAAAATATGGAATGCACAGTAAACCATGATCAACTCAAGGATTCTTGTGTAGGTGATTCTCGGACTTTGGATGAGCCTCCATGTTCTTCCTCGCTCTCAGTGGTGAGTTATCAGACAGATATATGCAGTGATGGAGCAGTTCAGGCCAGGGAAGATATGGAATGCACAGTAAACCATGATCAACTCAAGGATTCTTGTGTACGTGACTCTCAGACTTTGGATGAACCTCCGTGTTCTTCCTCACTCTCAGTGGTGAGTCGTCAGGCAGATATATGCAGTGATGGAGCAGTTCAGGCCAGGGAAGGTATGGAATGCACAGTAAATCATGATAAACTCCAGGATTCTTGTGTAGGTACTGAAATGGGTGAACTAGTAGTTCATCCTTTAAGTGAAGTTGATCCACTCCAAATTCCAGAAAGAAGCAATACGACAACTGATTCCTCATGTACTGAAAGTGAAATAATGACTGAAGAATCTCAACTGTCTCCCACGGTTGTTACCAAAGGGCGAGGGCCACGTAATCTGTCCAGGTTCGCTGCAACAAGAAAAATTGGATCGATGAATAATGTCGATAGACATGTCCGTCGAAGCTCTGAAACTTACACACCACGAGCTGGTGTTGAGAGAACCAGATCAAGGCTGAAGCGTGTGCAAAGTGAAAAGATGGTTGAGCTAAGTGACCCTAGGACTAGCAAGGAACAGATCATAATGCTGAAGGAGGTATATGAGCAGCTTGGTATGATAGAATCACATATGAGACCTTCTGATTCCCAAGAAAGCCCCCGAAATGACACATCATTAGATTCTGTTATGGAGGTATTTATTTTAAGCCTACTTTATGGGGATTGTTTTAGATAAATTACATCACCCTAAGTGCAAAATCGTCATAATTAATGTTTTGATCATTGAACGAACTAAGTTGATCATCATATTTTGAATGTCATAATCAGCAGTACATATAGTATAACAATACCTGTCACTAAATTCAGAGTATGAGCATAAACTATTTCAGTGATCCTAGGATTCCTAGCACGTCTCTGTGCTGCGCTGCTGCTTTTGACATTGTAGACTTCACTAGAAACTGTTGAATGTTATGCCATGCACCATCTGAAGTTAAATGATTCAGATTATGTTCTCTTCTAGTAAAATTTTATGTTGATTGCCACTGTTTCATCTGTCTGTGCCCGTGTAGAACAAAAAAAAGTAAAGTAGAAATAAGACATGAAGTAGTAAGCACAGAGAGAATTCTGCGCCTACACAGTGGCATTTGCTCTCTTTTTCCTTCTCTAATAATGCAAAAACTTTTGCTACAGGCAGCTCTAACCTTCTCCATATAGCTGGGTCAGGCTGTGCCATCTGAAGCATGCCTTGACGCTATGTGCCGCAATTCAAGTGTTGGAATTTAGAAGCACAAGATTGTATAGTTCACATTTTTAGGACAGTGCAAAACAATGATTAGACATCTCCATCAACACAGTACGGTGAAATCTGGGGTATTTGCTGTGTGCTCAGCACGCTGTAATCTGATCCTGTGCAGAACATGCATATGCACATACTGTGGGCTGCAGTTGTACCAGTTATGTATGTACATGAAGCCAAGTAGATAGCGAAGAGAGACATGCATATGCACATAAATGCAGCAAAGGTTTGCAAGCAACCTTTGCTGTGCAAGCAACCTTTGCTGCATTTAGGTTTCATTTGCAGAGACCGGCCGGCATGACGGCATCTCATGCTCCTGGCTGTAAACAAGTGTTTAGATCTCGTCTCGTTCTTGACAAATCAGAGCACCTGTGGGCATTCAAAAAAGGCGCCCAAGAGACCACCCAACAATGTCAGCACGACAGCATTCCCTAAGGAACATTACTTGAACTTCTATGTGGGTTCGAGAAATACTGGAATCAGATTGGTTTGTTCCAGAAGTTTTTTCCAGCAGGTTTTGTCACTGCCTTTTAACCTCAGAATTTCTTTGCGTGGCCTAGCCACTTCCACAAGGTAGGCCCTAGGCTGTCTCGAAGGCATCATCGGTGCAATCCAAAAGCCCAATGTAGGCACCAAGCACATTACTATGACTCTCTGCAATGCAAATGCTTGTCTTCATTCGATTTATACCTAGCCAATTGCTGGCTTGGCCTCCAACATCCAGCTGGTCCTCGAATTCTTCAGGTACATTCCAAACTGTCCATTTCATCGGTGTTTCATGTGGACAGGTGCACAAATTATAGTGCGTGATGTGAGACGGTGAGACCTGGGCCGGTAGGGTCGAATCGTACTCGTACCCATATATAGATAGGTTATTTGTCAAGGGGAACAAAAAAAAACATGTTTTCCCTAGAAGAAAAGTGTTTCCTTAATCTATTACTCCTTCCATGTCAAATTATAAATCATTTTAACTTTCTTAGAGAGTTAAAGCATCTCAAGGACTAAATTTATATAATAAAATAGGGGGCTACTCAACAACCGGTTGTTTTAGCCTCTCCCAAGAACTATATTTTGTTCATGCACTTACAATGTCTTATAGTTATATTTACACCGCCTTATTACTATATTTACAATGATTTTTTTAGTGTAAATCATTGGATACAGTGATGTAATTTGAGGATAATTATAGATCTCATATAAACATATGCCAAATTTACAAATTATTTTTATGGATTGTAAATATCAGATAAATAAATATCAAATACTTCACAAATTCTTCACAAATTTCAAAAACAAACAATATCCTGCGGTGGCAGCCAGCGCTGGTGGAGGCGATGTGGAGCGCGCGCTGCTGTGCTCTGCCGCACTCGGCGCATCCGTGCCACCGTGTGCTTGCATGCATGCTAGCTTGCTGCTGGGCTGCCTGGGCCGCTGGGCGAAGCGACAGCGGTGATTGGGCTGGGCACCGGTCGGATGAGGAAGCCGAGCGCGCGTGCGGTACCGCCCGTCGGTCTCGGCCAGGAAATCCGGTTGTTCACTGAGGCCAAAATAACCGGATGTTGTTTAGCAAATCTGTAAAATAATAATATTTATGATATTAAATAAGTATTATTAGATTTTTTATTAATTATATTTTTATAGTATACCTATTTGATGTTATAAATTTTTGTAATTCTCTTTATAATTTTGGTCAAATTTAAAATGTTGACAATCAAGAAATTTAAAACGACTTATAATTTGAGACGGAGTAGAGTACATATAATAAGACAAAAATGAATTGATTGGACTTGGATTAGTCTCATGGCGATTGACCCAGTTGCGTTTAGCCTGTACATCACCTAGAAACTGCCAGAAAAAGAAAATCATCAGATCAGTTGACTGGCTCTGGTAAATTTGCACGGTCCGTCCGCTAGTGATGGAATTGAAGTACACAGCTGGGCACACCGCACACGCGATGACACGATGCTTGTATAGTTGTATGCAACGCGATGTCATGGGCAGCTGGCCGGTGACACGACACGAGCAACTGCCAACCGCGAACCGGCAAGACATGCAGCTCTGGAGAACGGGTGGGTGGTGACATGCTGTGAGGGATGGCCAACTGGCCATAGATCCTTCGGAGCTATCAATTACACGAACTCTGAAATCGAATGACATCATGGGTTAAGCTTAAGATCATAATGATTCTGGTGATGGGGGCGCCATGAAGACTTGAAGAGCAACGGTTTTGCTCCATCAAAGATCACAAGTGTGTCAGGTATCCGAAATTAGAACAGGTCCAGGAGGGCTGCTCCGCTTTAATGGGCCTGCAGGCCAGCCAAATTGCTCCCTCCCGCCGCCATACAGTTAAGAGCATGGCTCGCTTGTACTCCCTCAATCCCAAATTTTAAGTCGTTCCAAGAATCTTGGAGAGTCAAAGCTTCTCAAGTTTGACCAAAATTATAAAAAAAATTACAAAGATTTATGACATCAAATAGGTATACTATAAAAATATAATTAACAAAGAATCTATTGGTACTTAGTTGGTATCATAAATGTTATTATCTTATTATATAAACTTGGTCAAACTTGAGATGCTTTGACTCTCCAAGATTCTTGGAATGACTTACAATTTAGGATGGAGGGAGTAGTTGCCACAGACCTAATTGAATTTTTCTGGTGCTAGTTAGGGGGGGTTACTACTGATCACAACTGTTTACTAATAATTTTGACGGCAAAAATCTGTTGGGGGTTGATCGGATCTGTCATAAAGTTGTGCCCAACCAACTGCCCATGCTGTCGCAGGAAAGTGGTCGCTGCATATTTATTGGCTTATTTACTAGCTTAGAATGTTTATGGAATCAGAAGGAAAAGGAAATGTTTCTTTCCTTCCTCTTTTTCCCCATTTGCATTTCAGCTAGTAGCGAATAAAAAGGTATGAACTTTCTGAACCAAGCCAAGCATGTCAAACACTAAACTAAGAATAAACAGAGTAGACAGATTTTGACCACAGAAAGAAATGACTAGGAATAGGTCTGCCAAACCTGAAATGTTAGCATCTCTTCTCTAATCTCTAAATGGTGCCTGCCAAGGTCCACTGAGGCTGGCTACAGCCTACAGGTTAGTGATATCAGCACTTGCCCTTGGTCACCTCCTGTGGAACAGCACTACCAAAAAAAGGAGGCTCGCCACCAGGGTCTCACGCGAAAATTTCAAATAAACTGGGTGCACATTTGTCCCCGCTACCCTCGTCACTTACTGCACTGTTCGTTTGGCTGATAAGTCATGGTTGAAAGTATTGTTGGCTGATTTATTATGAGAGAAAAATATTGTTCATTAGCTTAAAAAAGTACGGAAAGAAGAGGAGGAGAGGAGGAATGGCAAGGCACGGCCCGTATTCAGATTGATGTGCAGACTTCAGATTGTCAACCAACCATTCGTATTATCTAAGGGATCTTGAACTAAAACCAGTCATCACATTCAGATACGAGCTGCTTTCGGACCATAATAACTGGATGGAAGTGACAACTGAAACGGATTCAAACTTATCGAGTCGTCAGAGAACCAGTGCTGCACCTGCATTTGGCTCTTTCGCTTGACCATCCCCGTCTGTTGTGAGTACTGAGTAGTACCAACGCCACTCGGTCTCGCGCCGCCCTCGCTCGAAAACCAGCCGTGTCCGATCGCGAAATTTTTATGAACTTTGGCATTTTCGAATTCTGAATCGAATACTGTGCAGTAGCATGTACTCTAGCACGTTTCCTTTTTTTTATTATTAAGGGGCCGTTTGGCAGGGCTCCGCGAGCGGCTCCGGCTCTGGCTTCTGCTGAAGCCTGCCAAATGCACACCCGAACAACAGCTCCGCCGGCGAAGCCGCAAAGGAGCCAGAGCCCTTTTTCTACTGCACCAACGGAGCCACGAAAACGAGCTTCCCCGGGCTCCTCCTTCGTTAGGGCGTGAAAGGACACGGTGGTCCTCCACTGGTTCGAGCGTCGGTCACAGCGAGGCCGGTCAGTTTTGGTGCGTGCGCATGTTGTGCCTGACTGTCTATGCGTGTAGTAAAGAAAGAGGAGCTGCTAGCAAGAATAGAAGAAAAGATAGGGTTCCTAATATAAAAATATAAGAGAGAAAGAAAATAAAGAATGGCTCCAATAATTTAGAAATAGACCAGGTTCCAATGAAAAGCAACTGTTAGTTTTCTCCTAAAGTTGACCAAATCACCTGATACTTGTAAAATACGTAATAAATCACATAAATATCAAAAAATAGTAAAACTAATTTTTCTAGGTTGGATTTAACTAGATCTGCACTATAGTAAAATAATAGGTAGGGGTATTATAGACATTCACCATCTTTCATCCATTAAAAAAAAGAATAAGCTGTTTTGCCAAATGTTTTTCAAAACAACTTCAGCTCCTTTGAAGAGCCACTTCTTCAGAGGAGCCAGAGTCAAAACTGTTTTTAGAGGAGCCGAACCCTATCAAATAAGCCTTAACAGATAACATGTCATAGTGACATGTATTTCATTATATAATCCCGTTTCGTGTTCCCGTGAGCCACGGGGCGGCCTTCCAATGTAGACCCGGTAAAGTCCACGGGGCCTTCCAGCGTGCCCGGGGGCACTCAAGATTTGACCTCCTTCGGTCAAGTCCCGGGTCCGGTCAAGAAGTACTACATCATCAGCAGTTCGTAATCCGCACGCCGCGTCATACACTTTGTGTTTTGCAACTGCCGGATTCGGCATTACCGGCTGCATAATTGCTCACTTATCTATCGTTTAAATTTTAACGCTTTTTCTCTTTTTTTAACGCTTTTTTTTCACAAACCTGGAACTTTTGCTGGTCCGGCCTGTACCACCCAAGCCCAAGTCAAACCCCCCCACAAGTGACGAATGTGCAGGTGTGATAGATCGTCCGCACGCATAGGCTGTACGATATCGGACGTGGTAGTTCAGAGTTTGGCACCGGCACGCCCGCACGGCCTCTCGTCAGATTGGTGGGGGTGATTTCAGCAACCTGGCGCGGCAAGAAAAGCGATGGGATGGCGCCACAGTTGCCGCCGCGCCAATCCGGCAATGCCCCAGCCCCCAGGCCAGAGTCTAAGGACTCAAGGGCGAGGAGGCCAGCTGGGAGTGGAGTAACCAAGGGGACGACAGTCACATTGCAGCAGCCAGCAGGCAGGCAGCTCCTTGTTTCTCGCTCCGTTTCCTTCCCCTCGCTCTCTCTCGTCTCGTCTGCTCATTAGGCACGCTCGCGTTGACCTGTCACGAGCCCAACCAATCTGCGGCCGCCACCCCGCATCAGCCATCATTCTCTCTCGCTCAGCTGTGTGGCCTGTGTATAGTTGGCCATGCAGCCCGCAGCCCATTGGCCCAGCCTGAATCCCGATTTTTGGCCTGGCCCGAACCCGCCCGGTGGCCTGCGGGCCTGTTCTAGCCTGGCCCAATGGAGCAGACCGTGCCTGGGCCGTTCCCTAGGCACGTCGGGCCCGGCCCGCTATTCAACAGGAGGCCCGTTAGCGGCCCGCCTCCCCACTCGGGCTCCCTGTCCTAACCGGCTAACCCTAGAAGCATTCCCCTGGCGCCACACTCGCACTCACCTCTCTATCTCTCCTCTCGCAAGTCGCTACCACCGCTTCCACTACTCCGCCTCCGCGCCGCATTTAGCTCCTCCCACGGGCCATGGTTCCAGCCCCGCCGCCTCCTCGCTGTCCTCCTCCTCCACGCCCCAGCACCGCTGGCCCTGCTCCGTCCCCCCGTGCGGCCGCACTTAGCTCCTCCCTCTCGGATCTCGTGGTCGCGCTCGCGAAGTCACGAACCTCCGCAACTCCTCCATGGCGGCGTCAAGCAGCGGCGGCCGACTTCGAGTGCAGCAGCGTCGAGCGCCAACCCCCGCGCGGCCTCGTCCTATTGCGGCCTGTCGGGTGCGAGCGCGCCGTCGGCCGCCGCCGCGCGGCTCGTGCAGGCGCAGCTACCCCAGCCTGCCCTTCCACACCTCTCTCAGTGGGTGTTGGGCTGGCATGGCCCGTTAGCCGTGGCGTGCTTTTTAGGCCAGCCCGGCACGAGAAACGGCCCGACAGGCCTTGCCTAGGCCGAAGGCCAGGTCCATGGTCCTAAGAGGCACGGCCCAGGGGCACGACGTGCCGTGCCAGCCGGGCTGGCCCGTTGGCTATTTATAGGCCTGTGGGAGTCTTTAAAACCCCCCTCGGCTTTCCATCCTTGTGCAGCTAGCTGCTAGCGCCCTCGCCGAGCCACTTCGATCGCCACTGTCCACCCCGACGACGACGCCTCCTCTGCCCCTCTCCACATGGCCAGGCCCCGCAAGAACGCCGGCACCGACGAGGATCCTAACACCGCCGCCACGGGCGTCAGCGTCAGCGTCACCGGGAAGCCGAAGCTGAAGCGTGCGCGGAGGAAGAGCAGCGAGCCGCGGGAGAGCCCCTCCCAGCGCAGCTCCGCGTACCGCGGCGTCACACGGTAACCCGATTGCTCCGACACATTTCCTCGATCCGTTGTGCTCATCAAGTGTAACTAACCGAACCGAACCGGCGGGCCGGCGGGCGGCAGACACCGGTGGACGGGGCGGTTCGAGGCGCACCTGTGGGACAAGGACGCCCGCAGCGGCTCCCGGAACAAGAAAGGCAAGCAAGGTACCCTGTTCATCCCATCCATCGCTTCCTTCACCAAAACTTTGCTGCTGCGTTGCTTCGCTCGTTCTTGGACTCCGGTCTTCGACCGCGACTGACCTCCGTGCTTGCTATTACGTGCTGGTTCCTCTGCCGTCGTCCTGCGATCCGCCGGCCGGGTTTGCGCACGCACTACGAACGACGCGCGTGCCTGTAGTTTATCTAGGTGAGCAGAGCAGAGCTCCTCCTCGCTGGTTCCATCTCCATCCATGGGTTCGTTCGTCTTTGTCGTTGGCTCAACTCAACCGCCTTCTCCTCGGCGTTTGTTTGCAGGCGCGTACGACGACGAGGAAGCGGCGGCGCGCGCGCACGACCTGGCGGCGCTCAAGTACTGGGGCCCCGCCACCGTTCTCAACTTCCCGGTACGCACGGGCGCACGGTCCCCCCCTTCGGTTTGCTTCGATAGATGCATCGGAGGAGCTGGAACCCCACTTCAGTTCCCTGTCCTCTCTTCGTCAGTTTTTTTTCAGCAAAAACCGCAGCAGCCGGGTTGGACTCTGACCAAACCGAGACCGTGCGTGCGTCCAAATTAAGGCCACGTTTAGTTTGGTGTCCGATTCCAAATTAAATATCGACTAATCAAATCTCTTAGTGCATTACTTCACGTGCGTATCTGCGGCTTTGACGAGGAGAATCTTCTTTTTGCGAGGGAGATGGAGGGCAGCTGTGCGGCTACGACGAGGAGCTGAGGGAGATGGAGGGGCAGCCCAGGGAGGAGTACATCGGGTCGCTGCGCCGGCGGAGCAGCGGCTTCTCGCGTGGGGTGTCCAAGTACAGGGGCGTTGCCAGGTAGGTTCAGTGCATCCCTCTTCCCCTTCCCTTCTCCAGGCGGCAAGTTTTATTCTGAACATCTGATCGGAAATCCTCGGTCGATTCAGAGCTGGCGTTCCGTTAATTCTGCAGGCATCATCACAACGGGAGATGGGAGGCGAGGATCGGCCGCGTGTTGGGCAACAAGTACCTCTACCTCGGCACTTTCGGTATGTACCGCTACCGTACCATTTCTTGGTCCTGGTCACATTTTTTCGCCGGTCCCAGAATATATTCCTATCATGTGAGTCAGCATGGGTTATTTATCCAGAAGACAGCCATCTGGTGTCGTTACTGGCTAGCATCGTGTCTTCCATCTTCTGAACCATACATAGAGGAAATATAAACATCTTTTGGTTTTGATAGAAATATATATATATATATATATATATATATATATATATATATATATATATATAACCTTTTGATATGCTCCGTCCAGCGTCCACGCATTCTGAAACTCTGCTGATGTGTTACCTGCTGGTTTTTAGCTGAGCGCTGAAGTCAAAAGGTATGATCATCAAGGAGCACGTGTCCAGTAATCACGAATCAGCCATTACTTCTTGCTCTTCTCTCGGATCCTCCAGGTTAAACAAACAAACACGCCAATAAATCATAGAAATTCTCGCAACAGAAACAACACGCCAATAAAGCAATAGAAATTCTCAGGAACATAAACATTTGGCCGTTAATTCAGTGAATTTGAATCATCATTGACAATAATGACAATTGGGTGTTCCTTCTAAATTATATGTTTTTTTCATTGGGATGAAAATCAACCTGAATCGTCTAAACTACCCATCAGTTTCATTATCAAAGTAATCCCCTATATCTGCATATAAATTACCATTATTATTGTTGGGCAGTGTTATAGTACTCCCATTTGATGGGATTTTAGGACCATCTAGTTGTAGATCAGTGGGTAAAAACATAACTTAGATAGAAGACTTTGGTGATGTACCTTGCCGGACCAATGTCGTGGCCATGGTGCCGCAGCGATGCTCGGAGTAGAGGAAGCAGCGACATGGAGGCGCGGTCAGTGGCGGTGGCGATTGCGATGGCCCTTCTCGTCGCTCACAGCACACCCTAGGGGTCGGTCTAGGGTTAGGTCATCAGTGGGGCGCTGGCGGCTGCGATCAACCTCGTGTTTTGAGCTCCAGCCCCCACTTCCTATTTATAGCGCTGCGCGACGGGGGCCCATCAGTCAGGAGTATGGCTGAGCGCCCCCGATCAGGGCGCGGATCAAGGGCTCAATTGGCTGTTGGGCCAACTTGGTGGAGATCAACCTAACATTCTCCCCCTTAATCTCATCTTATGACTTAAACTTAACTTACTTTATCTTTTTTCTATTCCATCGCAGATCAGTGCATAGAGCGTGCCTCATCGTCACGATCAGTTGCCATTAGATTAAACAGCTACAATGCACCTCTCTATTTTAAAACAGATTCTCAACTAGGCCCTTAGCATCCAGAAATCATAGGCTTTCCCATAAAACCATGTCGAATGTGTGTTCTCTGAACACACTAGGTGGTTAGCCTTTGATAAGCGGATCCGCAAGTACTTGCTTGGTACTTATATGCTCAATGCTTTCAAAATGATTATGGATTTTCTCCTTTACAACATATAACTTAATGTCAATGTGTTTGGCAGCACACTTGACCTATTGTCTTAGGAGTTAACTACTTTAAATGGTTATTACTGTTGACTACCATTGTTAAATCCGGGTACATATTTCATTAACCACTTTTGCCTGTTCCTGAGGCCTCATGACAAGCTATATTATGGTATGCATCATTGATGACACCACAACTGTTTCATTGGAGCTTTTCCACAATAATACTCCAACTACGAGTGTTAGCAACTACCGTGGATTTCACTATAGATTTCGCAAAAACTTAACAATTGTACCCATAATTATTTGAGAGTACTTGTTCTTTCTTACTCAGCATGAGGCCTATGATACTCTGCAAAAATTGCAAGACATTCTTAACTCCATTCTAGTGATCTATATCTGGACTGGACTTCTACCAAAATATCCCGGATATGTAAGCTACGTCAGGGTAAGTTCTTACTTGTACATTCATTAAGCTTCCAACAGCTGAAGCATATGGAACCATGTTCATTTGATCGATCTCATATTGGTTCCTAGAACACTGAAAGTTTCTAAATTTATTACCCTTGACTATAGGAGCAGGCATAGGTTTACTCGCATGCATACTTTATTTCTTTAGAATCTTTTCTAAGTATGCCTTTGCGATAGTCCTAATACCCTTTTTCATCTATCTCGATGAATTTCAATTCCTAAAACCAATGAGGCTTCTCCAAGATCATTTACATTGAAACTTGAGGACAAAGACTTCTTCTTCTCCAATAGCAGATTAACATTACTACTAATGAGTAGGATGTCATCTATACACAGGATATGGAAAAAGAGTTTTCCATTCTTGAACTTCGCATAAACGCTATTGTCCTTCTTATTTTCTTTAAACCTAAACTTTTTTATCGTTTCATCAACTTTAAATACTACTGTCTAGAGACTTATTTTAACCCATAAATGGATTTCTATGGACGGCATCCCATACGTTCTTTTTCTTCCACGACAAAACATTTGGGTTGTGCCATGTAAACGTTTTCATACAAATCCCTGTTGAGGAATGTCGTCTTTACATCCATCTGATGTAACTCTAAATCGTAATGTGCCAATAACACCGTTATGATTCTAAAAGAATCCTTGCATGAGACTGGAGAAAAAAAAATCATTGTAATCTATTCATTCTCTTTGCGTAAAGCCTTTTGCTATAAGTCATGCTTTACATCTTTCCACGTTCTCTTTGTAGTCACATTTTGTCTTGTAGACCCATTCACAGCCGACTATTTTGGTTCCATTAGGAATTTCTTCTAAGTTCCAAACATCGATGGTATTCATTGAATTCATTTTAACTTCCATAGCTTCTTGCCATTTAGATGAGTAAACGCTTCTTATGGCTTCTTTAAATAAGGTGAGATCACCCTATATTTGAATTTTTTCACTAACATAGATTTCATAGTCATCAGAAAACTAGTTTACTAATTCTTTGAGACCTTCTGGGGCCTCAGCTACTGACACTTTCATGTGGGGCTGTTGTTGCTCTTCATTGCCAAGAGACAATTAATTCTACAGGCTCATGTATTACAAGATCCTTGTTTACATTATTCATCTTCTTCGAAGAGCCAACAACAGGTGTTGTATAAGTCATACAACATCAATATGTATTGAGAAATTCATTATTTTGAATCACTAAAGTGGGCACGCAGTCCCGCTTCTCTTCAAGTCATAGGCCTCTACATACCGTGCTCCTCCAGATCATCCCATCTTCTATAAAGATAGTGTATTCTCAAATTTCTTATTTTGGTTTAATCTGTTAAAATCTTATATGGCGCTTTAAGCACCGTCTTAATATCTTTGAGGTTGACTACGCTATCTTCCTATCGAAACTTTAAAAAGTCTAGGATTTAAGCTATTTCTCTACTTAGGGGTATCATTGTTATGACCGACGGTCACATTCATCAAAATCTCTATCTCACTCTTAATGAAGTGTACGCATTCATCAATATTTTTATCTCACTCTTAATGAAGAGTAGTTTCTTAATTAATCTTAATTCTTACTCTTAATTCATCTCATAATTCTCTCCATCGAAATATGGCATAAACTATACTGCCATAATTTTGAGAACTATTCAGAAGACTGTGAACGAGGAGACACTTATGACTTACTTCATTCATATGATTATGTCCACAAATAAAGTTATTTCTTGATTCGTATAAGAGTACACTTTTCTCATTCCACTTCAAGAACTCGACGAGGTCTTTTATTAACTATACTTTTGCAAGTCACGCTTGCATTTTTTTTCTTATTTTTTGGTTAGTATTGACTATGACGGTGCATTTATATTATGGCATGGTCAATACTAAGATAGCATAAGAGCTACCCAAACTTCTCTCGCTATGCAGGATACAAAAACATATGAGTCATCACAAAACTTCTCCCGCTATGCAGGATTAACTAGTATAAGTTATATGCCAAACTTCTCCCCATGCGGGATAAATCTATATAAAAATACCGTAACAAAAAATTTAGTTATGACGACTAAAACATTCACTTATACTTTATTTTCTAATTAAATTTTTTCGTTGATTCTAATTTAATCAGAAAATTAGTAAACTAACAAAAAAAACTATCCTGAACTGGCTTGAGTCAAGCCTTTTCATTCACATACCCCAGCATTGCAGCCCATAGACATGCAGCCGAGTGATCTCATCGGTTAAAAAATAAAACTTATAAGATGCTTCTACATCAATTCTACATCACCGTTGGACAGAAAATAGAATTAATGCATAAAACTTATAAACTAACTTGAAAGACATATAATTACTCTTCAAAATTAAATTCTTCCGTTGGTTCAAATTTAATTAAAAGATAATCAATATCATTGCAGCGAAAACTTGATAATAAAATACATTCTATTAGTTCAGGAGCATTTCTTGGTCTTTATCTACTCTCTGAAAAATTGATCATCTTGGTGTAAAATTTATCAGAGATTTAAACTTCAACCTTAAACTCATTATACTATTGGTATCATCAACGTTGGTCAGAAAATAATAATACCATAATTTAATATAAACAAATCGAACTACTCCTCTGATTTTAATTTTTCCGTTGGTTCTAATTTAATTAGAGGATAAACATAATCATAATTTACTAAATAAATATAACTGCTCTTCAAATTAAATTATCCCGCTAGTTCGAATTTAATTAGAAGATAATAAATATTAAACTTTGCAGCGAAATATAAAAAAATAATTTATCTACTTTTCAGAAGCATTTCACTGTACTCATCTACTCTCTGAACATTTTACCCGGTTGGTTCAAAATTTGCTTCTGAAAATAATAAAACCGTTTACTGTTCATTTGGCCCATCCTGGGGAAACAGTCCGCGGCCCAGTCCGCGCCCAGGCCGCAATCTAGGCTTGGGCCGAGAATCCACTGCCCCGCCTGGGCCAAAACTAGCCCGGGGAATCCTTGTCCGTCTTGATCCGACGGCCGCCCGACGATATCGCAGGTACAAAACCCGGTCTCACCGGTCGCCTCCCCCTGAACCCTAGATCACTTCTTCCCTTCTCCCTCTCTCAGCGACGAAGCAAGGCAGCGGTGGCCACCCGCAGTGTAGCCGGAGGAAAAGAAGATCGGCGCCGCATGCCCCTCGTCGGCGCGCATGTTCGCCTGAGGGTGAGCGCGCCGTCGTCGAGCGGCCTTGCGTCTGTGCCCTAAGCCCGAGTCACTGCGGCAGCACTCTATGCTCGGCGGCGCGTGGCTCGGCTCGTTCTCCCATGCGGCGACGGAGCTATCTTCTCGTGCGACGGCGGTGGAGTTGCCCTAGTGAGTTCCCTCCTCGATCTGTCCGTTCCCCTTCTAGGGTTAGGGTTAGGGTTAGGGTTAGGCGGTTTCTCCTCACGCCCGCGGTGGCTTGGGGTGTCTTTCCGCACGACATCGAGACGACGACCGGCGGTGGTGACGGTGTGGAGTTCGATCCGATTTGAATCACCTCCTTCTAAATGCTAAAACTTAGACTACCCCAAAATGGATCCGCACACCAACCTGGCTCGGGTATCATTGATGGGATTCTAGGACCATCTAGGTGCAGATCAGTGGGTAAAAACATAACTTAGATAGAAGACTTCGGTGATGTACCTCGCCGGACCGATGTTGTGGCCATGGTGCCGCAACGATGCTCGGAGTAGAGGAAGCAGCGACGTGGAGGCGCGGTCAGTGGCAGCGGCGACTGCGATGGCGCTTCTCGTCGCTCACAGCACACCCTCGGGATCGGTCTAGGGTTAGATCGTCGGTGGGGCACTGGCGGCTGGGTGTTTTGAGCCCTAGCCCCCACCTCCTATTTATAGTGCTACGCGACGGGAAGCCATCAGTCAGGAGTACGGCTGAGCGCCCCCGATCAGGACGCGGATCAAGGGCTCAATTAGCCGTTGGGCCAACTTGGTGGAGATAAAGCTAACACCATTGCCTACTAAGATGTAATGAGCCATTGATTTTTAAATTATGAAATATGATTTAATAGCATCTCCAAGAGTTTTCAATATTTACTTGCCAAAATCATACTGTTTTTCAACTCCCAACATAGAATGAGGAATAAATAAGGTCATCTACAACTGTTTCTAGAAAATAACTCCTAAATATTGTTCAGTGGCATTTTCGTAATTACCGTCATCTTCGACCTTCTGACTTCCTGAGAACAACAACAACCACGTACAGCTTCACGACTGGATCACGTCTGTGACCATGGTGTCCGCACGGTAGACGAGTTCGACCGCCGAGGATGGGGGACCTACCGCTACCAGGGACCCAACGCCGACGGTTGGGAGTCGATGGATCGATCGATCGAGACCACCCACAATCCCACATGCACACATCCTACCGGCGGATAAGGATTGAGCTAGCGCAGGCATCATGCCGCCCCCAGCCTCAGCTCACAGCTCATCCACCCGTAGCAACGCGTGTCCGCGCCGTCGACGGCGCCGGCGCACGCCTCGGATGCTCACACACCACGCATCCGTGCGTGCGGGCCTTGGCCACCGGTGCTGCCTCGAACGCCCGCGGACGCTTGCGGCTCGCGCGGTGCCTGCCCAGCGCCTGGAACGACAGGAACCGGTGGCCGTACGTCTTGCGTTGCGAAGGAGGATGGGAACCAGCACCTGGAACGACGGGAACCATGCGTTGCGAAGGAGGAAGATCGGTGATACGCGGGGATACGGTCGGGGAAGAGCAGATGCACGCGAGAAGGCTACACGCATTTTTACGCACAAAACCGGTCTTTTACCAATTGACAAAAGATGAGAAAGGTATATGGGGAACTCTTGGAGATGAGTTTTTCTTTTTTTTTCTCAAAAAAACATGGAAGAGAAAGTGATATGGGGAACTTTTGGAGATACTCTAAGAGAAGAGAAAAGATTCCCAAATCCTCTCTCTTTTTAGAACGGCGGCAAAAGCTTTGCCGATTTTTTATTAGACGAGAAAAAAGAAAAAAGAAAACAAATTTACAGATAATTACATAACGACTAGAATTCCCAGATCCCTTAATCACGGAAGAAGATAGAAGTGACATAGCTCAAGCTGATTTCAACAAAACACATATAGGATTATTTATAAATTTTGAGTACTTATTTGTCTCCCGGTTATTATAAGTACCGTGAGAAGAGTTTGTCAAGAATTACTATTTTACTGCTAACTAAGTACTCCATAATCGTGGTGACAGCAACGCAAGAGGCGGCGGCGGTGGCGTACGACATCGCAGCTATAGAGCACCGTGGCCTTAACGCGGTCACCAACTTCGACATCAGCCACTACGTCAATCACTGGCGTCGACACTGCCATGGCCCCTGCGACGACAGCCTCGGCGTGATGGACGTCGTCCCGTTCCAGCTACCAGATGACCTGCCCGAGTGCCCGGCCGCCATCGGCCTCGAGGAGACCACGGGCGACGCGGAATTCCACAACGGCGAGGAGGGCTACCTGCAGCACCACACCAGCGGACCCTTCGGCGCGCAGCAGCAGCTTCCTGACGAGATGGGAGCGCCGGCTCATCAAATGGCACCAAAGTCGTCGGCGCTCGACATGGTGTTGCAGTCTCCTAAGTTCAAGGAGCTGATGGAGCAGGTCTCCGCGGAGGCGGTGGCCTCCGAGAGCAGCAGCGGCGGCAGCATGAGCAGCAGCTCGCCGTCGCCGTCTTTGTCCTCGTTCTCGCCTTCGCCTCTGCAGCTGCCATCGCCGTCGTCTTTGTCCTCGTTCTCGCCTTCGCCTCTGCAGCTGCCATCGCCGCCGCTGCAGCAGCAGCAGCCTGAGTTCACCGAAGGCGCGCCGGCTCGGTGCAGCTTCCCGGACGACGTGCAGACGTTCTTCGATTTCGAGAACGAAAACGACATGAGCTTCGTCTACGCGGAGGTTGACACGTTCCTCTTCGGGGACCTGGGCGCGTACGCTGCACCGATATTCCACTTCGACCTAGACGTGTGATCTGGATCGGACGGCTGGCGTTAAAGACGTCAGTCTTTTTTAAACGGCTTCATAATTTTTGTTTATGAGATGATGAGATGACTGCTACCAAAGACCAAGGTTTACTTGCAAGAGGTAGGATTAGTTGAGTATTCTCGCCCCTGTTTCAAATAGCTAGAATGGGGAAATATGTCTCTCTTTTTTTCATTTTTTTCCCCAACAGGTCAAAGGTGTACAAGTCCAAATGAAGGAACAAGAACTAATCAACATTAAGAGTAATATGTAAAAATATATGGGACATGCTATACTAAAAAAAAATTCCTTTTTACTGTCGATGCATGTAGTCTTTGACTTAAAATTGTGTGCAAAACATCCGATCCGACTTATAATGTTTATCTTCAACCTCCGTCTTGGTTCCTCTCGATTCTCTCTCACTCATCATCTCAGAATCTCTTGGATGATGCTGTCACGATTGGGCCGTGAAGTGGCGGTGCTGCGATACTGGGCTACACTAGCTTGTTGGGCCTGTAAGCCAGCCTATGTGCTGCAAGGGTGTAATAGTTGGGCCTTAGGCCATTTGCATTTTGTAATTTGGATTAAAACTCGTTGTGAGGGTGGATGGGCGGTCAGCGAACAATCTCTCACAACTAAAAAGGGACACCGTTTTGGTACGACAATCGTCTGGTTCGTCCGTCTACCCGTACACATGCGAAATCCTGGGCCTGGCTGATATTTAATACGAAAACCGCCCGATGTCCCTCGCCCCCCTCGTTCGCCGCAGCTCGTCGCGCCGCCGCCACCGCCGCCTGCGCCCACCCTACGCAAACGCCACCACCCGCGCCCGCCCTGCCCCTGCCCCTGCCCTGCCACCATTGAAGCCTCGGCCCTCGGCCGGAACCCTAGGGCCCGCTCAGCCTCAGTCCTCCGCCCGCTCGGCGGGAGCTCCAGGAACGGCCGGCGAGGAGCGGCGGCCGCCGCCGCCCGCGCACGCCCTGCCCCTGCCCCTGCCCTGCCACCAGCGAAGCCTCGGGCCTCGGCCGGAACCCTAGGGCCCGCTCAGCCTCAGGCCTCCGCCCGCTCGGCGGGAGCTCCAGGAACGGCCGGCAAGGAGTGACCGCATCTCGTCGAGCAGCAACGGACAGCTCGCCCTCGCGCTCTGCAACTGCGCCGAGGACTACATCGCGGCAGACCCCAGCTTCTTCAATGCCTCCTACACCCTCGCTCGCTGCTGCCACCAGGTGTGCCAACCTCTTCCTGCTATGCGAAACCAAAAATCCAACCCTAAATTAAGCTGATTGGTTGCTATGTCCACCAGCACGACTTCCTCCATGTAATACCTACATGTGCTGGTAGGACCTTTCTACTCAATTTACATTATTGATCTTTTGTGCGAGTTAGTGACTTTTTAGATTGACGGTAATAGCTTGCTGTCCTGCAGAAGATATTCCAGCTGATGTCATTAATAGCAATTTTGTTTTTTTTTTCAGATCCCATCCAGCAGATCTACAGAGTGGTCAAAAATGGCAGCGAGCAAGCAAGTGAAATGAAAGAAGAAACAAAGAGCTAAATGTCTTGTACGAGAAGTATACAGAAAGAAAGATTTGTTCTTTGACTATAGGGTCTCATGCAGAATCATATCTGAAATAATAATAAAAAATTATGTTTTATCAAAATGAATTTATCTCATTTTCCTTGTCTTCCTTTCACTCTTACTTGTAGGCCTTGAGATACTTGCATTCCCATGTAATAATCAATTTGCTGGTCAAGAGCTGGCAGCAATGAAGATATCTAGGATACAGTTTGTATCAGTTTCAGAGCAAAGTTTACTATTTTCGACAAGGTAAGCAATTTGACATGTGAGCTTTTCTTTTGCAGTAACTAACATATTATGAATTCAAAGTTTTCTATCAACATCTGAGTATGTGAAATAAAAACAACCCTCATTGCTATCTCATTGGAATTTTGTTATAATCAAGTTGATTGGACCAGGCAGAGATGTGAACAGAGTAGGAAATTTAAACATTCATAATTAGCGTCACTGCAGAGACAACATTCAATGGTTGGTTTATTTATTTGCCATGTTTTTCTTTCTTGAGCTTTAACAGTTTGCTGGGTTAGTAATCAACATTTTTTGTTATTCAGATATGATCCAGTTGGCTGTTTTTTTCTTTGACAACTGATTCAGTTGGCTGTTGGTATTGAAATGCTGGAGTCTTTGCTTTCGAATCTTGGTCCAAAGGTTAGTAGCTAAAATTGTTATTTCCTTAAGTAAGTAGTCTAAAATATAATTTTCACGGTAGTTGAATATGGACTGTGATTGTTATAATCCTGAAACTGTATTTTGTTGATTTCCATCCTTTTCATGCAGGGGATCTACATTTGCAGTTGCAAACAAATAATGGGTCAGTTTGTTTTTCACCTAATTTACTTGTGTATATGTAGTGGACTTTCAGTAGCTCTGCTCTTTAGCAGCAGGCCTCAATGGCTAACGGTAGTTCATACTTGAGAGTTTACATATGTAATATATATTATCAAAAACTCTAAATCATTCAACAGTCTGCTAATTCCTAAGTTTTTATCTGTAGCCATAGCATGACTATGGTGACTTAGAGACAAAAAATATTATGTCTATGCTTTCCGTTTTCTAATATTTCAAATACGTTCTGTAACAGCCATATCATGACTATGGTGGCCAGCTGGGACGGCGGCCGGCCGGGCCAGCCAGCCCGCGGTGGCCGGATCGGCGGGTCGGCCTTGATGATGGACGGCGCCTACTTCGTCGGGCGCACCACGCTGCAGCTCGGCCTCTCCAAGGTGGAGATAAGCAGTGCCCACCCTAGTCCCTCTTCCCGATCTATATTGATCGCGTTAGTGGTGCAGCAGAGGTTTCGCGAATCTGTGGGGAGGATGCGGGCTAAGCGGTTGGGTTCTGTCCGAGTTTTGAGTCCTTGAAACCCATTCGTCGATTTCATGGTCTGCAGGCGGCGGCGGGCGCGGTTGCGTGCAAACTGATGGATGCGGCACATCCCGGTGCCGTGCCGATGCACATGATCCGAAATTACAAGGTCCTGCAGGATGTGTTCAACAAGCTCAAGATCCCTAAGGTGAGACACGGCTTAGTTTCTCTCCCTTGCCTTGTGCTGCTCGCGTGGGGATTTTTTTTTTCCTAAAATTGATTGAACCAGTTTGTTGCCCTTGTGTTTCGTGCTCTGAATGTTCAGTGCTGATGAGAGTTGATTCCAGTTGTGTGATGTGATATACTGACATGTGGACATGCTATGCAGTAGCTTCAATTTCTGGACAAGAATATGTTTTTAGTGGTGTTAAGGCCTTGTAGGATCCTAATATTTCTCGATTCCTTTGCTAATTCGAATCAGTTTGATGATGCCATACTCACTGTGCGGAAAATTTTTGCACACCATGTTGTTTGGTTTCTTTAGAATTTGACGAGAACAATGAAACACTCTGTTGTTTGCGTCATTTTGTTGGTCTCATTGGAAAATATTCAAATCATGAGTTAGGCTGTTATACTTTGTAGTAAATTAGTTTTTTCTTGTTTAGGTTAATACTTACTAGATGCTCTAAAGAGATTTCTACTTCTCCAAGCTGCGGGACATTGAGATCTTCTGCCAGAGCCCTCAGGTCGAGCACGTGCCGGTGAGTACTTGCCTTGCAGCTATCATCTGAAATCCTTTGTTCCTTTTAGCAAGTGTCAGGTTACAAGTACTAACTGAGTAACCAATACATACCTTGTATTTGATTTATTTTTGTGTACTTAAGTTATGATCAGTGCATATATATTGATATCGTGACAACCTTATGAATATGAACATACAATATGATATTCACTGTGCCAAAACTGCAAAAAGAAGACACCTAATTCGGGGTATCTAACTAAAATCAATGATGTCTAATGTGTGTGTTTTCTACATCAATGATTACTGCAGTAAGAAGAATGTCAGCTCCGATATAAAAGTCATGTTAGTTTGTCAACTCATATAGAAAAACTTGTTAGTGTTGTGCATCTTTACTTTTTGAGTCAAAACCCTTCAAACTATTTTTGAACTATTTTTTTACAGGACCTAATAAGTGTGCTATCGGTCTTGATGGCCACACTATTTTGGTTAGCACCACAGATGCATTGTTTTGTACTTTTACTGAATCAACTGGAGGTTGTTCTGCTGCTGAGCAACTTGAGGTAGTCTTCACTGCAAGGTTGTCATCATCAAGTTTCATCAATAGTGGCAAGGCGCTCAGCGACATCTTCACTATCAGATTCGGAATTAGAAGTAGAGTATAGCTGTTCATTAACATAAGTCAACGTATATATAAATTTTGTCTTAACCATCAGTGAGTCAATAGATATGACTCTGTATTGATTCCATTTATGCTATGTAGATATTTGATATCCAAATGGAGCTAAGACAACATGTTAAAGTAATCCTGATGCTCTTTCAACGTTCAAACTGCTCGATGTGGTCCAATGGCTGGTTACTTGCTATGTTGATTTTGTCGAGTTGATTAACTTGGTTCTTTCCTGCTATTTCTGCTGTTTTCCGGATTATATACAATGTCATATAAAATTGCGTAAAACCTAAACTATACAAAAAAATCATTGTTTGGTTGTTTTCATGCATTCCTGAAATGAAGTCATGGCGTTAGCACGAGCAGTCTATGGGGAAGGACATAAGGTCATTTCCTCTTCCAGATATTGATCACTCATACGATGATGCCAGCCATATTCCTCGTGAGATATTTGAGAAAGCTAGCGTCGAGTAGAATCCTGAAGATGTGCTATTGTGCGACTCACTCAACGTCGAGCAAAGGTCTGCCTATGATGAGATAATGGCCGCTGTCTGCAGCAAACAAGGCGGGTTGTTCTTTGTGGATGGACCTGGCGGGACGGGAAAGACATTTTTGTATAGGGCACTTTTCGCAAAACTACGTAGCCAGGACAAGCTTGCCGTGGCTACAGCTACATCTGGAGTCACAACAGCCATAATGCTAGGCCGGAGGACGGCCCACTCGTGTTTCAAGATACCCCTCACTCTTCAAGAGGGCGGTTGCTATAGCTTCATGAAACAGAGTGGTACTACCAAGTTGTTGCAGCAAGCAGCTCTCATAATTTGGGACGAGGCATCTATGACAAAGAGGCAAAATGTGGAAGCACTAGACAACAGCCTACGGGATATAATGGGCCGGTCAAACCTACCGTTTGGTGGAAAGACTGTTGTCCTTGGTGGGGATTTCAGACAGGTCCTCCCTGTTGTGCGGAAAGGATCCAGAGTTCAAATAGTCGGTGCTTCTCTACGAAGGTCGTATATCTTTGGGAATCCATGCGCCACCTAAAACTCATCCGCAACATGAGGGCTCATAGTGACCCGTGGTTTGCAGATTATCTATTGCGCATTGGTGGTGGAACGGAAGAGGTTAACGGAGATGGGAATGTACGTATTCCAGATGAGATATGTGTCCCATACTCTGGTGATGCCAAGAAAGATCTTCATACATTGATCGGCATCATCTTTCCAGATCTAAATGCAAACATGGTGGACAAAGACTAAATCACCACCAGAGCGATTTTATCTACACATAACGATTGGGTGGACATGATCAATATGAAAATGATTGATATGTTCTAGGGCGGCGAGATGGTGTATCATAGTTTTGATTTCACGGTAGATGGTCCACATAACTACTATCCATTGGAGTTCCTTAATAGTTTGACCCCCAACGGGCTGCCTCCACATGTCTTGAAGCTCAAGCTCGGGTGTCCTGTCATATTGCTTAGGAATATTGACCACCCAATGGGCTATGCAACGGTACAAGGCTAGTGGTGTGGGGGTTCCGAAGAAATACAATCGACGCCGAAATCGTGGTGGGGCAGCATGCTGGGAAGCGGGTATTCCTTCCTCGAATACCGCTATGCCCGTCTGATGATGAGATGTTCCTGTTCTAGTTTAAGAGGAAGCATTTCCTATCAGGCTAAGCTTTGCCATGACGGTCAACAAGTCACAAGGCCAAACTATCCTGAACGTGGGTGTGTACCTACCCGCACCGGTGTTCTCTCATGGTCAGTTGTATGTTGCGATGTCTAGAGCCACGTCAAGAACCAATATTAAGATCCTTGCCCTCCCGCCTAATGCGGAGGCACAAGAGGAGGAGGCCAAAAAGATAGAGAAGAAAAATGCTAAAAAGAATGTTGAGGGGAAAAAATAAGAATGCGTCAAATAAAAAAGATAAGGATAAGAAGACCCCAATAGCGGATGGAAATTTCACGAATAATATTGTATTTAAGGAGGTTCTAACGCCATAGGCAAGGTAACAGAACATTACTAACGCATACAATGCATTTTTTCCATTCAATTTATATTATACAAATAATATCTCACTAATGCCATATTTGTTGTTGTTCCTAGGTATTTTTAAATGGTTTATCAGACTCTACACGGAGATGTTGTATATACACTTGTGTGATGGCATAATGAAAATTGAACATGTGTTATATTATTGTTATAAAAATGACGCTTTGAGTGTTTTGTTCATAATATTTCGTTTTGTAACCATTCATAACTATTACACGTGTATGTTCTCAAAACCATGAGTTTTGTCGATTTTCCCCACTTTTCTCATGTGCCAATGTGGGATCAACCGAATTAGCACCTGCATAATTACAAACATAAATTACTTGAATAAACCAACGAAGCAAGTTAGCGATAATAGTGAACAATAGTGCTAAACAACACCATACCAGTGGTCGTGGGATGGCATGATCGTAGTGGCATTGGTTCCGCGCATTCACGAGGATAGCTCCTTTGTATTTCCCATTGTTGCACCAGGGTCATTAGTTTGTGAGCACGAAAGAAATGGATATCGGAGATTTCTTCCTGCCAATATAAAATATTATCTTAGCCGCATCACGGAAAGGTCTATAAAGTAGAGTTTGTGAGTCTGCGACGCCGCGCACTCCATGACTGTGTTAAATTCATAAACTTTGCTTTTTGGATTAAATGTCACTTTAACATTGGTATTTAATTTTTATAGCATTGTTATCTTATCGTGCGATCCGTGTGTTTTTAGTACAAAATGTTAGCTATCCCGTAGCAACGCACGGGCACGCTACCTAGTTAAACTAAAAACCCAAACTCCTCTCTCTCCCGTGTTCGTCTTCCTCCAAGGCCGTGCCGCTGTGCTCCTCACCGTGTGTGTACGCCGGTAGTTACCTTATCTCCGTCCGTTACCGTGACAATTGGTATCAACGGCCAGTCCAATCCACTCTTGTTGCTCGATCCGTAAAATCCCATCCATTGTTGTCTACGGTTGAATCTAGCACGGTGTTTGATTGAGTTTGATTCCGCCACCACAACCCAAATCCCGACCAAATCCACCGGTTCCGCCGCCACCTCCCCAACCTCCACCCGATCCACTAGCAAGAGGACCTACCCTCACTACCCGCATGGCCAACGCCGAGGAGAAGATGGATGCGCTCGCCACGCAGATGAACTCCATGATGAAGCTCATGGAGACCTTCAATCGCTGGCGTCCGAACATCGACAGCTTCGCAACCGGACTCAGCAAAGATCTCAAGGAACTCAAGTCACGCGTTGAGGCGTTGGAAGCACATCCCAAACCTGCTCTGCCTCTGGCCTCGAAGCGCGAGGAAGAGGGGCGGGTCATTGTTGACCATGGCATTGCACCACCACCACAGGGGTCTAATGCAAGGGTTGTCGTCCTTTCTGGCCAATGGTCAATACACAGCTTCCACTTCCCATGTTCCCAGTGTCCAATGAAGTTGTTCCATACTATATTGGCCACCACCAGAAAGAATTTCGTTTACCTAAGGCTGATTTTCCCAAATTTGATGGCTCGCATCCTAGGGTTTGGAAGGAAAAAGCTGAGAAGTATTTTGACACGTTTAATGTGCCTGTTCATCGTTGGGCCCCTTTTGCCACCCTTCATTTTAAAGGCATTGCTTAGTTATGGTTTCAAACATATGAAGCTCAACATAGAGTTGATAGTTGGGTAGAGTTATGTATTGCTGTAGAAACCAAATTTGGCAAGGATCTCTATCAAAATTCTTTGCAAGAGTTATTGAACATCAAACAAATTGTTGATGTACAAGAGTACTATGATAGATTTGCCTTATCTATGCATAGAGTGTTGGTCCATAACAATCACCTAGATGATGTTTTCTTTGTCAGTAAGTTTTTGCAAGGCCTGCAACCTGACATTAGAGCTGCTCTAGTCTTACATAAACCAAGAACTATTGATGTGGCACTGTCCTTGGCACTCTTACAGGATGATGTGTTGGAAACTCAAAGCAAATCCCTCAATCGTCGTCCTCACAAAGACTTCAACAAATATCAGGGGAAGCAGACACCTAACCCCCAACCTGGTGTTCTCGATGCACCACCAGAAGAGGCCAAGACCAAATTCAAAGACAAATTGCAAACACTCAGAGCTCAACGCCATGCTCAAGGGTTGTGCATGAAATGTGGACAGAAGTATGCATATATGAACTATTCCAGAAGAACATAAGTTATTCTAAAAATGCAGGCCACGAGAAGTTCTAGAACTGGTGTGGAAACACTAGATGCACATGACATAAAAGTCCAGAAATCAATGCACTTATTTGGCAAATATCCTGATTAGAGAGGGAGCACGCTCAGCTCAGGTTCGATGCAGGTCCAGCCATCAATAGCCTCGTGCGCCAATGTCGGCGCCGCGGCTTCACAGGTGATTGATCTGCGCGTGGGATCAGGACACCAAGCTTCAACCTGGTTGTCACGACAGGCATGCATGCACAACATTCACATGGTATAAAATGTGATTATTGTTCAATGGTACCCACATTCAAGCAAGGTCTTCCACTTCTTCTGATCATCTTACTCACTCTTCATGCATACATTTTGTCAAAATCATTATGACCTTATCTTCCGGAATTGATTAGACATCTGCATTCTATAGTAACCTACATCTTAGCAACTGCAACAGCTTCGATAAATTTGTCATCTTTAATGCATTAATACGACCAAAACTAGATGACAAAGCACAAAACTAAAAATTATAAGAAATTTGTAAAGCATGTTTGATGGCATTAGTGACATTACTCAGTGTGCATTCAGAACATTTCTCATAATCACAATCTAATTTGCTTATGAGTTAAATGCATCGTAGGTCCATTAACTTTTGGTGGTGTCATCTAGGTCCATCAACGTTCAAACTACATTTTTAGGTCCATTAACTTTTGGTGGTGTGTGTTG